TGGAGGAGGAGGAGGAGGAGGAGGTGGAGGAGGAGGAAGAGGAGGAGGAGGAGGAGGAGGAGGAGGAGGATGTGGAGAGCCACTGCTGGACCATGGCGTTGAAAGTTCGGGGGCCCCTGGGCCCCGGGGGCGGCCTGGGGCGCAGAGGTGAGAGCGGCGCCCTCTGGTCTGGGAGGGGCCTCGGTGCTCCTTTAGGGTCGGACGAAAGGAGGGGAGGGTGCGACATCTGCTGCATGCAGCCAGTTTCGGCCGCGCCGCCGGGCGCTTTTCACGATGCATGGGCGCCCCTGGCGCCAGGGGGGCGCTGGGAAAACCAGCTGCAGGGAGCTGATTCGCTTACCCCCCCCTCCTATACATCTCCTCCTGGCCCCAGCCGTCGCCCTGGTCCTTGTCGCCGCCCCCAGTTCTGGACCTTCTGGCTCAAGAGTTGGGCTCGGACTTCCCTTTCAGGCCTCCTGGTCGCCTCGCTCCGTCGCGCACGCAGCCTGTAGGCAGGATGGGCATTGTGTTCACCAAGATCTGGCAGCGCATGGTCAGCAAGGAGGAGATGCGCATCCTGATGCTCGGCCTGGACGCGGCGGGGAAGACGACCGTCCTGTACAAGCTGAAGCTCGGGGAGGTCGTGACGACGATCCCGACGGTGGGCTTCAACGTGGAGAGCGTGGAGTACAAGAACATCAGCTTCACCGTGTGGGACGTCGGCGGGCAGGACAAGATCCGCCGGCTCTGGCGCTACTACTTCCAGGGCACCAAGGGGCTCGTCTTCGTGGTGGACAGCAGCGACCGGGACCGCGTGGAGGACGCGCGGGAAGAGCTGATGCAGGTGCTCGGCGAGGACGAGATGCGGGGCGCCGCCCTGCTCGTGCTGGCCAACAAGCAGGACCTGCCCAACGCCATGCCCGCTGCGGAGCTGACGGAGAAGCTGGGCCTCCAGGGCCTCCGCGCCCGGCAGTGGTACATCCAGTCGGCGTGCGCCACCTCTGGCGACGGCCTGTACGAGGGGATGGACTGGATGTCGCGCGTGCTGTCGTCCAGGAAGTGAGCGCCGCGGGGGGAGGCGCGAGCCCGCTTGCCTTTTTTGCTCGCTCGTCTGCCGCCCGATCGGGGGGGGGGGCCCGGCCAGTGCAGCCCTGCTTCGAGGCGGGGAGCGGCTCGGCGCCGACGCGCGTTTTTTTGTTTGTTTGTTTGTTTGTTTGTCTGCTCGCTCACTCTCCCCGCAGAGCCCGGTCGTTGCAGCCCTGCTTCCCGAGGCGGGGGGCGGCCGCGGCCGCGCACTCGGAGCGGCCAGCCGTGGGACTCGTGTACAGTGCGATCGCGGAGAGCCAGCTCGCAGAGGGGTGGGGAGGTAGCAAAACACGCCTCTCACGAGGGCCGAGAGGGGACGAGCAGCACGGGGGCGAAGACCAGCAGGAGTTCCTGGCCACTCTGACAGGCCTCGCTGTCGGCGCCCTTCGCGGACGTCGTCCAGCAGCAGCTGCTACAGTGGAAGCCCATGCCAAGAAACACCCTGCTGGCCTCCAGGGTGCGGGTTTCGATGGTTTTGCCACGGAAAGCGTGGCGTGCCCATGCCCAAAATCAGTGGGCGTCCAGGGGTTCCAGGTTTGGGTTTCTTGTGGAAGGTTTCTTGTGGTCGAGCCCCGGCTGTATGTCCTCATATCGGGCGTGGCAGATATCTCCGTCGCCGTTTGAGAGCTCTGGCGATTCGGAATCACGCCCGAGGTTTTCCCGCCATTCTGGGCCGTCAGGGCGCTTGTTCCAGGCCCCGGGGCCGTCGAGAAGCAGCTCGGCATAGCAGCTCGGCATGAAGCGCCGGTCCCAGGGGCCAGCCTCGTCGGGAGGTCTGGGGGGCCTTTCTTCTCCAGGGGCAGGCCTGAGAGCGCGCAGATGAGCCACGGAAGGACCAGGGGTCGACTGCGCGGGACTTCGCGTGTAAGCTTCCCGCGTAATGTCGCGCGTGCGCGCTCTCGTTTCCAGGGTAGCGTGCCGCGCTAGCGGCCCCTGTAAGCCACCGCGTAAGGTCGCTACGTCATTGCGCATATGGCCCGTTTGTTCTCGTCGCTCCGATGACCAGCATCGAAGCATCGACGGTCCAGCTTGAGGAGCGGCGCAGACGGCCCCTGGCTCCCAGAACTCTGCTACGTCACCATCTGTCTGTGTACGTTCTGTGGGGTGATGAGGCAGCGATGGGGCGGTGAGGGCCGTGCCTGGAAGGGGATCCTCGTGGAGGGGGGGCGGTGTGGCCGCGCCCAAAGTCCCCCCAGGGGCAGAGAAGAGACCAGGAGCAGCAGGAACGGAGGAGGGACACCGAGGAGGGACGATGATGATGATGATGATGATGATGATGATGATGATGATGGTGATGATGATGATGATGATGATGATGATGATGCTAATGCTAATGCTATTGCTGATGCTGATGCTGATGCTTATGCTGATGTTAATGCTGATGCTGATGCTGATGCTGATGTTTATGATGATGATGAACATGATGGTGATGACGATGCTGATACGGATGATGAGGATGATGAGGATGATGATGATGATGATGATGATGATGATGATGATGATGATGGACATTATGGTGATGCTGCTGATGTTGATGTTGATGCTGGTGCTGATGATGATTCGGATGCTGCTGCTGATGATGCTGATTATGCTGCTGCTGCTGTTGCTGACAATGATGCTGCTGTTGCTGATGATGATGCTCGTGATGTTGCTGACGATGATGGTGCTGATGGTGAACATGTGCATCAAGGTGAGGGTGAGGGTGAGGGCGATGGTGAGAGTAAATCTGATCATCTTGATGATGAAGAAGGTCGGGGTGAGGGTGTGGGTGAGGGGTGAGGATGATCATGAGTATTTGGGTGAGGGTGAGGATTCTGATGATGGCCATGATTATGGAGATGCCGACGGTGATGCTGCTGATGATGATGATGCTGATGATGATGATGATGATGATGATGATGATGAGGATGAGGATGAGGATGAGGATGAGGATGAGGATGATGATGATGATGATGATGATGATGATGATGATGATGATGATGATGAAAGTGCCGATGATGATGCTGATGATGCTGCTGATGATGATGATGATGCTGACGATGATGATGATGATGCTGCTGATGAGGAGGAGGATGAGGAGGAGGATGCGACTGTGGATGCTGATGATGAGGATGATAGGGGGTTGAGGATGCGGGTGAGGATTATGGTGTCGATGATGATGGTGGTGGTGATGCTGATGATGCTGGTGCTGATGATGATGACGATGATTTGCTGCTGATGATAATAAATGGGATGATGATGATGCTGCTGACGATGATCATGGTGCTGCTTGTGATGATACTCTTGACGATGATGCTGATGCTGATGATGCTGATGACTATGATGCTGATTAGAACGAGCAGGAGGATGAACATGAGGATGATGATGAGGAGGGTGGAGGAGGAGGTGGAGGGTGATGTTGACGATGATGACGGCGATGCTGATCATCATGATGATGAGGTAGATGAGGGAAATGATGATGACGATGATGATGATGATGATGATGATGATGATGTTGATGTTGATTATTATGCTGATGATGATAATTTTTATGATTATGAGGATGATGGTGATTCTGGTGATGCTAATGATGTTGATGAGGATGAGGAGGAATAAGAGATGGTGGATGATGATGACTACGATGATTGTGGTGATGATGATTAGTTATGGTTGTGATGATGCTGATGCTGATGATGATGAACATGATGATGATGCTGCAGCTGATGATGATTGTGTTGATGATGATGCTTGAGGTGATGATGCTGATGATGAGGATGATCATGATACTGATGACGACGATGATTATGATGATGCTGATACTGATGATGAGGATGAGGACGAGGACGAGGATGACGAGGATAAGAAGGATGACGACGATGATGACTATGATGCTGATGCTGATGCTGATGCTGATAATGATGCTGATGCTGATGCTGATGATGATGCTGATGATCTGATGCTGATGCTGATGATGATGAGATTAGGAGGAGGAGGAGGATCAGGATGAGGATGAGGATGAGTTTCAGGATGATGATGATGCTGCTGCTGATGGTGATGATGATGATGATGATGGTGGTGGTGGTGATGATGGTGATGAGGATTATCATCAGTATCATTTTTATTGTTATTATTATTATCAGCATTATCATCATTAATTTTATTATTATTATTATTATTATTAATTTATATTATTATTGTTAATATTATTCTTGGTATTATTTGTTTTGCCATCAATATTATTATTGTTGTCATCATTATTATTATTGTTGTGATCATTATTTTTTATTATTATTATTATGATAAAGATGATGATAATGATGATGATGATGATGATGATGATGATGATGATGATGATGATGATGATGATGATGATGATGATGATGATGATGATGATGATGCTGATGATGCTCATTTTTATGATAAGGAGGAGGAGGAGGAGGAGGTGGAGGAGGAGGAAGAGGAGGAGGAGGAGGAGGAGGAGGAGGAGGATGTGGAGAGCCACTGCTGGACCATGGCGTTGAAAGTTCGGGGGCCCCTGGGCCCCGGGGGCGGCCTGGGGCGCAGAGGTGAGAGCGGCGCCCTCTGGTCTGGGAGGGGCCTCGGTGCTCCTTTAGGGTCGGACGAAAGGAGGGGAGGGTGCGACATCTGCTGCATGCAGCCAGTTTCGGCCGCGCCGCCGGGCGCTTTTCACGATGCATGGGCGCCCCTGGCGCCAGGGGGGCGCTGGGAAAACCAGCTGCAGGGAGCTGATTCGCTTACCCCCCCCTCCTATACATCTCCTCCTGGCCCCAGCCGTCGCCCTGGTCCTTGTCGCCGCCCCCAGTTCTGGACCTTCTGGCTCAAGAGTTGGGCTCGGACTTCCCTTTCAGGCCTCCTGGTCGCCTCGCTCCGTCGCGCACGCAGCCTGTAGGCAGGATGGGCATTGTGTTCACCAAGATCTGGCAGCGCATGGTCAG